GCATCGTGTCCCTCGCCATCGGGGGTGCTCGCTCACCGCCAAACTTTGTTTCGGAGGAGACCCTGTCTGGAGGGCGGGTGTTGCGCCAGCTCTTCACTGGGCTCACATTGTGTGGCTTGCGGTCACGGGCCCCGTCACGTCTCATTATAACGTCGAGCAGGTTTGTCAGATGTGGCGCGCGGTGCCGCTCGATAACCATGTTAGTTGGAGGAGCCCCCGTGGGCCGATTCAACGCATGCACCTGTCGTTGCCCAGAGTTGTATGGTGCGCCACATCTGCCCCCACGTGGGAAGACGACTATGGCAGAGAGATTCATTTGGCCTATGCGTCCCCGCCCATGGTCGGGCACTTGCTGATGTTAGCCACCCAGCGTGGTCATGAACGTAAGCTGGCCACGCTTTCCCAGTCTTTCGCTGGGGACAGAGTCGTCGTGGGCCGTCTCCAAAAACTCCTTGGCCCCTGGTCCAAAAAGCTCTCCCAGCGGGAAAACACATGGACATTCCGTGTTTCTGTGGAGGCGCATGGGCCCGTGCGCGAGCACGAGCCGCTGTGCGCCTCGAAGCAGCTGGTGATAATGCAGGGTGGCTGCAGGAGGCAGCCCAAAGTGATTGCAGGAGCTTGTGGGATGAGTTGAAGGTGGGGCACACCGAAAACGCCCCCCCCCCCCCCCCCTCCCCCCTCCCCCCCCCCCCCCCCTCCCCCCCTCAGCGACCCCAGCCCCCACCTTCAACCCACAGAAGGAGGAAGTGCCTTGGGGGAGTTTTGACCTGAGAGGATGCGATGTTTGTATGGACGGGTCGTGTGCGCGCCGCAGAATCCGTGAACTTTCAAGGGCCGCTTACGCATGGATCTTTTAAGGCCTTGATGAGGACATTATTGCCTATGCCATAGGAACCGTCTGGGACGTCCTGCCCCAGACCCCGCAGGCGGCGGAGCACCAGGCAATGTCTTTGATCCCGTTCTTTGTTCCATACTCTGGAGTGAGATCCAGCGACTGCATGACGGTAGTGAAGTTATGTGCTACTGATCCTGCGCACCAAGTAGATCGGCGCCATCGGCATGCAGGAATGAGGAGAGGAGCTTTTTTTACACGAGGAGCGGGGTCATGTGCCCGAAGTGCGTCACACACCTGCTCATCGAGCTAGAAGCGTCATCGACTCCCTCCCATACAGAGAGAATAATTGCCGTGGGGAATTGGAGCGCAGACGCCCTCGCCAAGCATTCCCTCTCCCTCCACCCTTCTCCTTCCCCCCAGTTTTCGGAGGTGCTGAATATTTCCTTGGGCAAGTTAGCTTTGCGGCCCGCGTGCTGGTCAAGGTTCTCTGCGCGTTCCCGAGGGAAAAATTCGAGCGCCCCCCCCCCCCCCCCCCCCCCCCCAGGACCGCGGGCAAGGTTCGTCTTCAGTTTTGACATGGGACATACGTTGGCCCACACTGTCGTTACCAGATATGATAATAACGACAGATCGAGCGAGGCCGCATTGTATTTCTGCACGACATGTGGTGCGCACACCACAGGGCGCTGCTTGTTGTTGGGTCGCGAATGCCAGCGGCGCAAGATTGCTGGAGCGGCTATTGCATTGAAGAGAATTTATTCTGGCCCCCACCCTCACTCGCGCGAAACCTCCGCACGAGTGACCCAGACGTTGAGGCGAGGAGTGGGGCACATGCAGTATGCAGTTAATTTACCCCCTCCCCAAGAGGTTGGTCGTCTGAGTGCGAGGTTAGACAGCCTCCCACAGACCCCTCGAATGCTGGCTCTCCTGGAACGAGTTCGGGAGAAGGAAGAGGCAGCTTCTGGGGCTGCCCCAGCAAGATAAACAGGTAACCTTGGTCCTGCCCCCCTGGGGAGAAAAAAAGTGTTTCTTGTGTGCGTTTTCTGTTTTTGTTTTCCCGGGAGGGAGTCAGGAAATTCTAGACCGTTGTCGCGCGGCCGCGACCGAAAAAGTATCCCCACCAGCCCAACGCTCTCGCCTCTGGCTACAATTCCTTGGCCGACGGTCCTTTGGTCCACCCTGGTTTCCGCGCTTCGCGCTGTCCAGGGCCTCGCCTTTGCATTTCTCTTTCCTACCTCGACCGACGTTACGTTGGCCACGGCCACCCTGGTGCCCACGCAGTCGTCTGAGGTACGGTATCACGTTTTCTCTCTCGGAGTTGTCCCTGGCCGTCGTTGACTTTCCGACGTTTGGCGCCTCCGACGGATTTGCAGTCGTGCACGCTGGCAGTTCCTCTCAGTCTCTGTCCCGACAGCCCCCCATCTGAGGCCTCGGCCGCGCTTGGTTGTCGCCTCGCGCGTCGCTCTGTTTGTTTTTCCCGCGTGTCCTTTGTCTAATTAGTCTTTGCGTAGCCCGCTTTGACCTGACACGCCGCCGGCGCGCTCGCCCGCGGCCGCTGACTAAAAAGTATCCCCACCAGCCCATCCAGAAACGATGTCCAGGCGAGTTGAGGTGATCAGGGAAGTGTGGCACCAAAGAGGAGGACGGCCGAACCGTGCAAAGGAGTGAGGAGGAGAAGGAGGAGGTGGATGGATGGATGGATGAGGGAATGGGAAGAACGAGGATGAATAGGATCAGGAGGAGGCGGAGGAGGAGGAGCAGGAGGAGGAAGAGGAGGAGGAGGAGGAGGAAAAGAAAGAGTAGGATCAGGGAGGAGGAACAGGAGAAGGAGGAGGGCAAGCACAAGGGCCAGAGGTCTTTTGGATGCCTCTCGGAGCCTCTTGGGGTATCTCTTGGGCGATTATTGGAGGCCTCTTGGGACGTTTTGGGGGTCTGTTGGCGATCCTGGGAGGCTCTTCGGGGTCTTGGGTGCCTCGGGGGGGGCCTCTTTGGGGCCGCTTAGGGTCTTCTTGGGGGCCTCCTGGGGGCCTCTTGGGGGCCTCGGCCATCTTCGGGCCATCTTGGGACCTCTTGGGGCCTCCTGGGCGCTTCTTGGGGCCATCTTGGAGGAGATGGGTCAACGAAGGGGGGGTCCTCAAGTACGCCCCCCCCCTCAGGAGCACCCGGAATCGCCTCCTTGGCCCATCTTGGAGCGTTCTTGGAGCGCTCTTGGGCGCTCTTGGGACCGTCCTGGGGCTCTCTTGGTCCCTTATTGGACCCCTGTTGGGCCATCTTGGAGCGATGTTGAGGCTTCGGATGGGCATCGGAAGCGCAAAAGCGATACCGCCAAAAACATTGATTTTCCTTATGGTTTTGAAGCATTTTGGCTTGGTCGGGGCGTCATTGGGGAGCTCTTTTGGCCACTTAGACCCGTCTTGGAGCGGTCTTGGAGCGTCTTGGAGCATCTGCGGAGCTATATCGAGGCATCTCGCGCTATCTTGAGCCATCTTCGACGCTATCTTGGGCTGCTCTGAGGCCCTCATGGAGCCATCTTGGGCCATCTTGGACGCTCTAACTACCCGCGGCCCCCCCCCGTCCATGTCCAGGGGAGGGGGTAGGGGGAGGGGTAAACCCCTCCCCGAAGGGGAAGAGGGAGGGGTGAGGGCTGGTGGGACTCTTGACACTTCGCGCATCCCCACCAGCCCATCCACCGCAAACGATGCCCAGGCGAGTTGCCTCGATCAGGGAAGCGGAGGAGCATGCAGTGGATCAAGAGCTGGGAAAGAGCGTGTTCTATACCGCTGCTGGCGGAAAACCGGGAGGGGTCACTACCGGTTCGAACCCCCCCCCCCGAAAACCAGAGGGGGATCACTACCGGTTCGAACCCCTCCCCCCCCCCCCCAGTCCATCATGAAAAGGGGGGGTCACTACCGGTTCGACCCCCCCCCCCGAAAACCAGAAGGGTCACTACCAGTTCGACCCCCCCCCCCCGCCGCCGGCAATCGATCCCTGCTCCTCTGGACAGTTGGACAATGGTGGGGATGCTGGGACAGTGGTGGGAACGGTGGTGGTGGGGACACTGGTGCGGGGACAGGGGGGACACTGGTGCGGACAGAGGTGGGGACGGTGGTGGTGGGGACAGTGGTGAGGGGACAGCGGAACAGTGGTGGGGACAGTGGGACAGTGGTGGGGACGGTAGTGGCGGAGACAGTGGTGAAGGCGGTGGTGAGGATTGTGGTGGGACAGTAATTAGTACAGTGGGGAAAGTGGTGGGGACAGTGGGGACAGTGGGAGAGTGATGGGGACAGTGGGGACGGTGGGACAGCACAGTGGGACAGCGGCAGGGACAGTGGGACAGTGGTGGGTACAGTGGGGACAGTGGGACAGTGGTGGGGACCGTGGTGAAAGTGGGAGAGTGGTGGGGGTGGGGGGGGGTCGATCCGGTAGTGACCCGCCCTCCCAGTTTTCCAGAGGGGGGAGGGGGAGGTTCGAACCGGTAGTGACCCCCCTCGGTTTTTCCGGAGGGGGGGTGGCGGGGGGGGTTCGAGCTGGTAGTGAACCCCCCCGGTTTTTTTTGGGGGGGGGGTTCGAACCGGTAGTGACCCCCCTTGGTTTTCCAGAGGAGGGGGGGTGTTCGAACCGGTAGTGACCCCCCCCTGGTTTTCCGGAGGGGGAGGGGTTAGGGGGGGGGGGGGGGGTTGCCGGGAGGAAAGCGGGGCGGGGGAGGGGTTTTGCAGAGAGGGGGGGGATTTTTGGAGGGGGGGGGGGGGGGGAGACCCCCAGGTTCTGGAGGAAGAGAGGGGGGAATTTTCCATAGTACAGCGGCGGTGGATCACGCTCTCTCAGAGTTGGGGAAGCCGTCAAGCTGCGTTCTTGGATCAACCTGCGCAGACCCAGGAGCCAACCGTATACGCCTGCGCGGACCTGCCGAATGAGGAAAGGCGGGGAAGAAGGACGAGGGGGATGAGGGAGAGGACGAGGAGGAGGAGGAGGAGGCGGAGGAGGAGGCGGAGGAGGAGGAGCAGGAGGAGGAGGAGGAGGATGAGGAGGACTGAGGGAGGCGCCAGACTGGATGGGGGTAGGGCGCTTTCGGCTCTTTGCGGTGACCGCTGGCCCTCAATTCCTCTTCCTTCTCCTCCTCCCGTCCCTCCCTCGTCCGGGGTGGTTCGCGCTCCCCCGAAAGGAGGCTTGCTCGCGCTGAGCGCGCGCGCGCGCCGTGCGCTCGCGCACACCAGCGGCGATGCAGCCCGCGCTGTTTTTCTGGAAAGCGCGGGCCATCCGCACTGGCGGGGTGCCTGCGAGGAGCGCCGCAGAAAGGGGTACCGCCGCCGCCCCCCGTCGCCATGACGGATGAAAGCCCTGACTCAGGATTTGTCTTTCTTTCGGTGATTTCATAAGTAGGTCTGGGAATTTCAGCCTTAATTTTAATTTTCTAGGATGCCGATTTCCGCCTTACTATGCCGCTGGTGTTTCCGCCACACTTCTGCGGAGGTAGCCGCCCAACTCTTCTGAGGCGGAAAGTTATGTTTCTATTTGTCGCATCGTTTGGGGTGCATTCCCGACACATCTTGAAATTGTCTGGTCCACCAGCGGCTGCCCAGAATGCTAAGGTTTTCGTATTCTGGTGAGTCGTTTTGCTGCCAGCCCATAAGATAAGTAGCTGGGGCAAGTCCACCCAGCCCCGTGGATTGAGGAAGATACCCACTTCGTTCTGGCCAAATGTTGCTTCCTTGTTCGCAAAGTCAGTCACGTGCGATAACCTGTTCGTGTTGCCAAGGGGTTTGCGCGTTCCCGTTGGTAGTTGCTCGGAGAATCTGCGGGTCTGGTGGCCCAGGGGTGAGAACAAAAGGGCCTGAGGAGGAAGAAGGAAGGGGGAGGGTTACGGCAGCCGCGGCATACACACATACACGCATATATATATATATATATATATATATATAAATATATATATATATATGTGTAACGGCGCACCGGGCCTCGGGCCCCCGGGGGCCCGGACCCCGACCACAAATGGGGGTTCCTCCTCCTTCTCCTCCTTCTCCACCTCTATGTCCTCCTCCTTTTCCTCCTCCTTGTCCTCCTCCTCCTCCGGGGCCCTTGTGACGCCCCTGAGGCGCGCAAAACGCCACCAGAAAGCGCCAAGAGAGCCCCAAGACGCGCCAAGAGGGACCCGAGATCCCCCAAAGGTCGCTTCAAGACGCCCAAGATGGCCCCCAAGACGCCCCAAAAGGCTTCCCAGACGCCCCAAGAGGTCTCCACGAGGCCTCCCAAACGGCCGAAACAAGCACAATTCGCCCCATTCCTTTCGGAAAGCGTACATTTTTAGCACCCCGTTTCCTTTGGAAAACGCGCATGCTTAAAATATTCGCTTCTTGGGTTGTCGCAGCGTCCAAGACGGCTTCAGAGGCCCCCGCGACGGCCCAAGAGGCTCCCAAAAGGGCTCCAAGACAGCCCAAGAGGCGCCCAAAACGTCCCAGGAAGCCCCCAAGACGGCCCATTTTGGCTCAAGTTCGAACTTGGCCCAAGACGGCCCCACCGCGCCAAGACGCGTTTCGAACTTGAACCATTTTGGCTCAAGTTCGAAACGCGTCCCTGGCGCTTCGAGCTTGGACACTGCCGAGGGGTGGCTGTGTCCATTTCTTGGGGACAGGCCCCTGAATCCTCTCCGTCGTGCGCCGAAGCACGCTTCGTTTTCGGCCACTCTCCCGCCGCGGTGCGGATAACACCAGTCTCCCCGATGCCCGCCGAGGTTGTCAGGACGGTCAAAAAGGAGAAGCTCTCTCGCTCGCTCTCGAGACGTGCTGCGAAGAAGGAAACGTCGCACAGCCGCAGCCCGTCACACACCCCGCAGAGGTTCTCAATGAGTCCTGACCACCGAGAGCGCTTCCCGAGCTCTGGCTCGAGCCTGCGGTCCTCTGACCTGACGCGAACGAGGAGCCGCAAGAGCGAATCAGATGATGAAGATGCTACGCCCCCACGTCCTCCAAGTTGGATGAAGCAGCTGATAGTGAGCATTCAGGACTCGAACACTCGCATCCAAGTGCTCGAGCAGAACTTTGCCCAGGAGGTGCAGTCGCTCCAGTCCGCCCTTTCGACCGCCGACAAGAACGCCCACCTGCTGAACACGCGCATCTCGAACATGGAGATGAACAGCACTGCCGCCCTAGATGATGCCGTGGCGCTCGCAGTGGACACGAAGAACATAGATGCAGCACTTGCAGAGCTGCAGAGTACACCTACACCACCCTCCTCAGCTACGTCGCAGCGGACAGGGAGTGCTGGACCGTCTCACGATTCCAGGCATGCGAACCTCGAGCGTGCCCATCATGTGATCATTGTGGGCTTCCCACGTAAGATAATGCAAGCCTCCCTGAAGCGCGCTGCCGACCTGGTCATTGACGCTGGCATTCCCCAGGATAGGCCTCGCCCGACTGTTCGCACCTATGAAGATTGTCCTCGACTTCGCGGATGCGTCCAAGGCATCTGGCTTCCTCAACATGATGCACTCCCTCTGCCCGATCGCATTCCAGGACCCGATCTACCCGCAGCAGCAGATCTTGCTTCGTGCCAAGAGGGATATGGAGCTGGGTGCCCGCCTGGTCTTCCTGGCCATTGGGAAGGTTCGCGGAGCTCTAGCCAATGCGCTGAAGCAGGCGGGCAAAGACATGGGGTCCAATGGTTTGGGAGGGGATGTTTATATCCTCCGATCTGCGGAAGATCCTGTAAAGCTGTATCATCTTGAGCCTGTGTCCAACGGTGCTGTGCCGCCATATGTCACCATGACTTTTTTCCCGGAACAGTTCGCTGAATTCCACGAGCTCGTCTCTCCCCTCGTTCCGCGCCTGAAGGTGGGGATCGATCACTTGAACGAACCTTTGCCCTTTTAGAGTGGAAGGTGACTGGCCTCAAGCTGCGGGCGCGGTTTCTACGACCCCCTCGGAATGCCCGAACGCTGCGAGCCTGGACGGCGATTCCCCAGCCACTCCTGCCGTTTTAACAGCTCTGACCTGGCGGACCGTTGGTCTGAAGATGTGCCTCTGTGTCCGTCTTGTGCTCTCCCTGCTGGTGCTGTGGTCTCTCCCAGTGGCGCCAGTGCCCAGAGCTCTGTCCAGCCGTCTTTTCCTTCGATCAGGACCCGCCCTTTCTCCCCCCCCCCCTCCCACATGAAGATTGGATATTGGAATGCTGCTGCCCTTCTTGCCGCTGCTCGGAGTCGAAGTACGAAGGCTGCCCCGCGTTTTGCTCGTTTTTTTCCTTACATTCTAAGTGGGTTTCTGATTTTCTCTACACCCGCGTCGCACCCGCGTTCACTCACCTCCCCTTCTCTACACCCGCGTCACACCTGCGTTCCCACCTCACCTCCTCCTTCTCGCTCGTACACGCACACACCACATCACACCACGCCACATCGCACCACACCACGCCACGCCACACCACACACCACACCACACCACACCACACCACACCACACCACACTACACAACACCATTCGTGTGTGGCACTTTCTCGTCCCTACAGGACGTGTGCAGGGAGTGGTCCCTCACCGCGGTCTCTATCCGCCCCAGGGTCGCAGGGCGTGGCAGACGTGGCACTTTCTCGACACCATAGGGGGTGCGCAGGGGGCGGTCTCTCACCGCGGCCGCTATCCGTGCCGGTCGTCCAGGGCACAGCAGGCATGGCATATTCTCGACACCATAGGGGGTGCGCAGGGGGTGGTCTCTCACCGCGGCCGCTATCCGTGCCGGTCGTCCAGGGCACAGCAGGCATGGCATATTCTCGACACCATAGGGGGTGCGCAGGGGGTGGTCTCTCACCGCGGCCGCTATCCGTGACGGTCGTCCAGGGCACAGCAGGCATGGCATATTCTCGACACCATAGGGGGTGCGCAGGGGGTGGTCTCTCACCGCGGCCGCTATCCGTGACGGTCGTCCAGGGCACAGCAGGCATGGCATATTCTCGACACCATAGGGGGTGCGCAGGGGGTGGTCTCTCACCGCGGCCGCTATCCGTGACGGTCGTCCAGGGCACAGCAGGCATGGCATATTCTCGATCACCAGGCAGCAGGGACACCATAGGGTTGCGCAGGGGGTGGTCTCTCACCGCGGCCGCTATCCGTGTCGTGTCCAGGGCACAGCAGGCATGGCGTATTCTCGACACCATAGGGGGCGCAGGGGGTGCTCTCACCGCGGCCGCAGCCGTGACGGGCCTCAGGGCGCAGAGGCATGGCATATTCTCGACATCGTAGGGTGCGCAGGGGGTGGTCTCTCACCGCGGCCGGCTATCCGTGCGGTCGTCCAGGGCACACAGGCATGGCATATTCTCGATAGTGCGCAGGGGGTGGTCTCTCACCGCGGCCGCTATCCGTGACGGCGGTGCTCAGGGCACATCGGTACGCAAGTTTCCTATCTGGACCGGTCGCGTTCAGGGCACAGGGGAACGCAAGCGAGGTGAGTGTAACCGTCATCAAGAATTCATAGCCACCTCGGCTCATGTGGGGGGGGCGCAAGGGGTGGTCTCTCACCGCGGCCGCTATCCGTGCCGGTCGTCCAGGGCACAGCAGGCATGGCATATTCTCGACACCATAGGGGGTGCGCAGGGGGTGGTCTCTTACCGCGGCCGCTATCCGTGACGGTCGTCCAGGGCACAGCAGGCATGGCATATTCTCGACACCATAGGGGGTGCGCAGGGGGTGGTCTCTCACCGCGGCCGCTATCCGTGACGGTCCGCCCAGGCACAGCAGGCATGGCATATTCTCGACACCATAGGGGGTGCGCAGGGGGTGGTCTCTCACCGCGGCCGCTATCCGTGACGGTCGTCCAGGGCACAGCAGGCATGGCATATTCTCGACACCATAGGGGGTGCGCAGGGGGTGGTCTCTCACCGCGGCCGCTATCCGTGACGGTCGTCCAGGGCACAGCAGGCATGGCATATTCTCGACACCATAGGGGGTGCGCAGGGGGTGGTCTCTCACCGCGGCCGCTATCCGTGCCGGTCGTCCAGGGCACAGCAGGCATGGCATATTCTCGACAGCGTAGGGGGTGCGCAAGGGGTGGTCTCTTACCGCGGCCGCTATCCGTGACGGTCGTCCAGGGCACAGCAGGCATGGCATATTCTCGACACCGTAGGGGGTGCGCAGGGGGTGGTCTCTCACCGCGGCCGCTATCCGTGACGGTCGTCCAAGGCACAGCAGGCATGGCATATCTCGACACCATAGGGGGTGCGCAGGGGGTGGTCTCTCACCGCGGCCGCTATCCGTGACGGTCGTCCAGGCACAGCAGCATGCATATTCTCGACACCATAGGGGGTGCGCAGGGGGTGGTC